GGCCGGAGCAGGTAACCGGGTGGGCGGACGCGCCGACCAACCAACATGAGCCCCAGACCGTTACTTTATTTGTTTCATTTTTACGTTGGCTTGTTTTATAGAATAGCTAAGAGAAGGAATGGTGTAAAGAATTTCCGAGATTCCCCGAACGTTAACATTCTTCCACATTTGCTCTCTACACACACACGCCTCTACTGTGCACACTAACGTGCGTTCACTCCAACACCTTCCGGCTGGAGGCTCTGGCTTCCTCCCCTTTCATCCCCCACCCCCACCCCGTCCCGTGTGGACTGACTTGGGTCCCGGGATTCGGAAAGGAGTTTCAGGATCCAGCCCAGGCCTGACAGGCTGCTCGCTGTCCCGATCCCGGTTCTGGGTTCAGGAGGTGCGGGCAACGCTGCCCGCCCTGCAGTGTCCTGACTCGGCTGGAATACAGTTGGGTTCATTCGACTTCACTCATCGCTGGGGGTCCCCTCCCATCTGTGTTGATGTCCTTATTTCCCTGGGTGAGAAGGTGAAACATGAACTTGGTTCCAAGTCTCACAACAAAAAAGGAAAACTCGGAGAAATGCTCCCCATCTCCGGGGTCTCCCCTCCTCTTCCTCCAGATCCCAGCGTGGTGAGCACCTACATGTACCCAGCAGGGGTCCCTGGCGCACAGACAGCCCCCCAGGGCCCAGCCGGACCCGCCGCCAGCCCAGCCTACTCCTCCTACCAGCCCACCCCCACCCAGGGCTATCAGGTAGGGTCAGGCTGCACCCCTCCCCCAGAGGCCCCTGTGAGGCGCCCCGCCCAGCCCTTCTCCCAGCTCCTCACACTCCTCACAGGCCTTCCCTCCACAGACGGTGCCCTCCCAGCCCCCGCAGCCCGCCGGCGTGGGCTACATGGGGAGCCAGGCGGTGTCCATGGGCTACCAGCCCTACAGCATGCAGGTGAGACCACGCGGGGCATCGACAGGCCGGTCCTTCTGACCCCCCCTCCCCCCCGACTGGGCTCCCCAGCTGGTCCTCCAATTCAGGTTACAGGGCTGCTTTCTCAATGTCGGGGTTCCTTTCATTCTCCACAGAATCTCATGACCGCCCTCCCCGGCCAGGACGCATCTCTGCAGCCCCCGCCGCAGCCCTACATCTCGGGGCAGCAGCCCATGTACCAGCAGGTGAGCCCCTCCCAGGCCACCACCCGGGCCCCGGCCCTCTGCAGGGGACCGTCCTGGGAAGATAGGCGTCCAGCGGGAAGGCTACTCGGCCCGCAGACCCTGAGTGCACGCAGCGTCCGGGGGGAGCAAACCACGTTGACTTCAAGCTCAGCTCCATAGGCGCTGTCGGGATTCCGGGGGTGGGCCCTGCTGGAGCGTGAAGCTCAGAGCCCATGACAAGGAGGGGGCGCACCCTGGGCTGGAGGAGACCCGGGACAAGGCTGGGGTGGGGTGTTCTAGAGCAGCCAGGAGAGCGGGAGCTGGGCCTGGGGAGGAGCACCAATGGCCTCTCGTCCCCCAGATGGCACCTGCTGGCGGCCCTCCCCAGCAGCCTCCGCCCGTGGCCCAGCAGCCGCCCGCACAGGGGCTGCAGGTGCAGGGCAGTGAAGCCCAGCTCATCTCCTTCGACTGACCAGGCCAGTGCGCTGCCCAGAGTAACACTACGTTCCCCGAGACCACCGCCTCCATCTGACTAGCGTCCTGTCCCCTCCTCTGCTCTCCTCGCTCTCCCCGCCTCCATGTAGTGCCCCTGCCCGCCTTTCTGTCCTCACCTGTGCTCACCCCTCGGGCTCCACCTCCTGTCCCTGAGTTGGCCTCCGACCTCCTTCCCCACGGCCGGGCCTGGGGTGGGGGGTGGGGGTGAGCCCCAGCCTGGATGTCAGGTCCCTTTGCCCCCCACTCCCGCAGGGGCCTATGGATGACTAGCGTGTGCCCCCCAGAGCCCTCTAGGGCCCCCCCAGCTGTCAGCAGGGGCTCCTGGCCCCCACAGGAAGGGGGGGCTAGTCTCCAGCTTCTCTGCTTCTGAGCTGTCATGTCACCCAGTGCCCCAGTTAGACAGAATGGATCGGCCATAATAAAGTCTCTTCAACAAGTACCACGCGTCTGCTCAGGGGAAAGGTGCTGGGCAGGAGTGTGTGGCCATCCCCGCAGGCCAGCCTGGCCCCGAGTCCTGGGATGGGCTGGCAGGGCCCAGGCTCTGGTCCCACTGCAAGGCCAGTAGCTGTAGTTGGAGGAAAATGTTCAATGTCCGCCGCTTGCATCCAGAACTCAACGCCTGAGCCACCCAGACCTCCTAGGCGACCGCGGCCTTGGCTCCTCCATGCGGGGCCGGACTAGTGAACAGGCCCAGAGGCTCTCGGAGCGCAGGCCAAAGGCAGGGCCAGGACGCGGAGGTGCGGGGCAGAGGGGCAGCGCCTTGTCGTTTGACATAAAGTCCGCTCAGCGCTGGCTCCAGGCATCACCGTGGCGGCGGGAGAGGAACCCGCCTGTGCCTCTGGCTGCATCTAAAGAGCAAAGCCCAGGCCCTCGGGGCAGGCGCCGCAGCCGGTGTTGGGAGCTGGGCCAGGAGGCGGCGGGC